CCCCCTGGGGAGTGCACGGGGCCAGGCTGCACTGTCTGCTCCCGCCCCACCCTTCCCGCAGCAGGGCTTTGCCCGAGGCAGATCCGGGTGCCCCCGGCACTTGACAGAGCCCCCCTCCCTTACCAGGCCATTTCCAGGCCCCCACTGACCAGAAGCGACGGCCCACCAGCCCCAGCCCGAGCACCCCGGGCCGCAGCTCACCTCAGCAGGCCCCCGGGCGGGGAGTAGGCGAAGCACTTGAGGGTCGGGTACTGGGGGCGCAGGAGGAAGGAGAGGATGGCGGCGGTGCCCGCGCCCAGGGAGTGGCCCACCACGATCAGGCCGTAGTGCTTGGTTCCGCGGCCCTGGGACCGAGAGAGGCCTGAGAGCCGGCTCCCGCGTGGCAGATCCAAGCTGGGCCCCACAGAGCAGCGTCTGGGGAGACTGTCCTAACAAACTCGTACTCCTCCCTTGGAACCTGGCTCAGAAGTCACCCCTTCCTGACTCTCCGGGAGAGGCTCCCTCCCCCAGACGTCGCATCTGCACTGGGAACGGCCTCTGGGTGAGGCGACTGCACCCCGTTAGAAGCATCGGGTCCCCTGCCCCAGCCCGGCGCTCAGCCCCTGGGCGCGCTGCTCGGAAAGCGCCTCACCAGGTCTCTCCCGAAGGCCTGGGACAGGACCATCTCCTGCTCCAGCTTCTTCTTGATGTACTCGGCCGAGAGGACCATGCCCTGGGTGAGGGGGGACAAAGGTCGGTCGGTGCTAAGGTAGGGCTTGGGAGGAAGGGGGGCCCCTCAGCGACCAGCCAAACCACAGTGACCAGCAGCTCGCAGCCCTGTCCTGCCCACTTCCCCCTTGTGGCTTCGTAACAACCTGGCCGTTGGGCTGGTGGGCACTTTATGACTTGTTCCCATTTCACAGATGAGAAAACCGAGGCTCAGAGAGTTGTGTGTCTATAGAAACCAGTGGGATCTCTTCCCAGCTGCATCCCCAGGCTCTTCTGGGTCAGGATCCAGGCCAGGCAGGACTATGGGGTCCTGGCCAGTGAGCCCCCGTGGACCTGTCAGCAGCCCACACCTCTCTGACCAGTCTCTACCGGTGAGCCCAGCCAGCGGGGAGGACCCCACCCCCCACAGGACAGGTCCCCGCGCTGGCCCGGGAGGAAGCCGGGGGCCGGGGCCCGCGAGGCGGCACCTTGTGTCCCAGCCAGGTGCCGTGGTGCCCCTCCACGGGCAGGCGCTCGGCGTCACCCGTCAGGTCCGTCAGGGCGTCCTGGGGAGAGGGGACAGGCGAGGGCGGGCTGAGGACAGGAAGAGGGAAGCGGCATCCCTCAGGGGCTGTGAGGGGTCCCTCTGGTGGGCAGGGAGCCGCGGGCAGCCTACCTTGGGGGATAGGGTTCCCCGAATACTGATCACCACCTTCTTCTTGTCGTGGTCCACCGCCACGTAGAAGGGGGTTTCGTACACCTGGTAAGAGGGCGGCTCGTGAGCCTGTGCAGCCCTGGGCGGGGGCCAGATGCAGCGGGCGCCCTTAGCTCACGCCTTCCCGGCCAGGGAGTCTGTCTCCTCCAGCCACCGGCCCTCCAGCCCCCCGCCCAGCCATCTTGGTAGATCCCTCCCGGCCCAGGTCACAGCCCAGCTGCCTCCCAGCTCCCCAATC